CTACGAACCGCTATTCTCTACTATACTATTTCTCTATTCAGATCACAATACGGTGGTTATTTCGGGCGAGTAATATCGAGCAAATACTATTAGTGCGAGTGTTAGTCGAAGGCGTCTGACTCTTGTATTGTTCGACGGCATACTATAGTTCTATCGGCGATTACAAAGTCTCTACTACAACAAGCATTACGGAAGTGACAATGCGTATTCGTTGACATTACAAAAGTGTCAAACAAGTGTTCGTTGACATCACAAAAACATAATGAGAATAACAATGAAATATCAAGAAAATTGGTTAACTTTCGATACACCTTAATTTCCTCACAGATTAAGAAGTGTCTTTAGGCAATGGTTATGTAGAAAGGACTGCTGAGAATATCATGGACGAAGCATGTGAGCAAAAATAAGTTTTAAGTGGAAGCAAAAAGGCCATTGTACTTAGAATGAGAATTAGAGGCAGTTGAAATTCTTGGGACTCATAATGAGGAAACAGGACTTGGAGGATATATTGAAGCCAAGAGGAACAGAGAGATATTATGAATAACGAACTTGGCTAAATAGATGGCAGAACAGAAAATGAGCAGGATAGTACCAAAAATTGTGGAGAGTTATGAACACCATGTTTAAAATATACTTAAACATGTATAAAATGCTTGTTATTTATGTATTTTTAATGTTTTTGTGTTTGTTTTTTCTCCTTTTTTGATTTTGCTATTTTTTTTATTATTACCATAACAGACAGCATAAAAATAACTTACCCAACCTTAACCGAAAATTCATCAGCACCAGCACTAAAACACAGTAAGAGGTATAGTTCCCAGGAAAACAAGAGGACATAGACAAAAATATAGATTGTGAAACGGCGAAACAATCAGAAACCTCACAGAAAGACGATATGAGCATCACAGGGAACTTCTGCATAGCAACACTTTAAACGCACTGGTGGTTGACCGTAATATTTCTGACCACAATTTCGACTTAACAAATGTTAGGCTAGTCAGAAGAGTTAAGGATTCAGTGAGAAGAAGATGCTTTGAGTGTACATTAATTCTTGTCAAAACACTTAAGATCATATCACCAATCATCGAAAATGCAATAATAAAAAATGCGGTATAATAAGTGGGCTGATTTTAAAGCCAAAAGACACCAACACCTCTAATATATATATATATATATATATATATATATATATATATATATATATATATATATATATATATATATATATACATTGCGGTGCCAGCTGAATTTTATCTTTAAACTTTTTGCAATCCCGCTAATTTAAAAAATATTTTGTATATTATTATATAGTATTAAAAATCTGAAAGTTTCAAATAATTGTTATGAGTAGGAAATCAGTTATTGTAAAATTATTAAAAAACTCGACAAACGATTGGGGCATAATTATAAGGCCATTAAAAAAATATTACAAAACTGACAAACATTAAAAATTTATAGATATTAATATTTACTTTGTTTTCCGTGAAAACAATTGGAGTTTTGCCTTTGAATTCGAATGCCGCCCAAATCATAACACTCCCTCCTCCTTGGACACACTTGGAAAAGACCAACTTCTCTTTTTAAGGTCATGCTAATAATGAGATGACCCCTCCGGACCGTCCAAATTAATTTTTTCTCATCGGAAAATGCCACACCTTCCCATTGCTTGTCCCAAGTCATATGAGCTTTGGCTCAGTTGAAGTGGTCTGACATATGATGTTCAGTCAAGGATGGAGCGTTCATAAGCTTGCCATAACTGAACTCAGATGATCTGTTAAGTTTTCTCCAAACGAGCGTAAAACAACCAATTCCAGAGTTGCCTGGATCTTGGAACACGATGTGACCGCATTGCTTGCTTCTTTTTTTATCAGTCTGACATCCCTGTCACTTAATTTCTGAACTCTTCCGCCTCGTTTCCTGTCTCAACATTTATCTGTGTTTGATAAAAGTTGTTCATAACCGTTTTTGAATGCTTAATCCTCGCGGTAATTTCTCTACTTCTCAAATTTTCATTTTTGAGTGCGATTATTTGACCTTTTTCAAATTCACTTAATTTTGTACCCATAGTTTATGCCAGTTGTGTTATGCGAAAATGCTGGTGAGTTATTTATAATAATATATAAAATTTTAAGCGATCGTTGATTTAAATTATTTTAACTTGCAGTGATCCTTTATTTTAAATGGCTTTAATGCACCAATCGTTTTTTAGTTTTTGAATAATTTTACAATACCTGATTTTCTACTTATAACAATTATTTGAAACTTTCGGATTATATATAAAATATTAAAAAAAAATTATTTCAATTGCGAAAGTTTAAAGATAAAATTCAGCTGGCCTTATGATTATTCATCACACTGTATATATGTACACACACACACACACACAGACACACACACACACACATATATATATATATATATATATATATATATATATATATATATATATATATATATGCACACTGCTAACCGATTGCATATGTATACTGTTTGATATATTTTCGATGTTTTGACACCTGAAAATGGAGAAATATTGCAAATAGTTACACATTTGAATTTGACCTTTTCTTTAAAACCATACATGCTAATTTAAATGAGAAAATTAAAAGAAACAACATGATATTCTATTAGAGCGAATTATGTTTTTTGCAATATTTTTCTATCTCGGCGTTTACAAAGCTGCTTTTCAGAAAGATTCTAAGTCTACAAGATTGGAACAACCAATAAAAAACCTAATCATTAGAGAAATAATTACCTGCATGACTTGCATTTCTCTATAGTTTAGTTCTCATTTATATTTATAGTTAGTGAGCTGAAATGTGTTTTTAAAAATATAAGATAAAAGACAGAGCTTTCGGTACCTATTTAGAATCGAGCAATATTCAGTCGTAATAGCCAACGAAATTAGCTTTTTAACATTGCTCCAAGTACTTTTTACGTGTTGTGTTTCATTAGGAATTGCGCGTGGATGGCTCTCCAAAGCTACCTGTCCGTTGTAACTCTTATATATATATATATATATATATATACTAGCAGCATGGCCCGGCGTTGCACGTGCTTGATTCAAAAATCGTACGACTCATATAGCAATCGCTATCACTTGACTTAAAATATTTTTGCCCTTCCTTGCCTTTAAAGGAGTGCCATTTGCCGTGCTGATGTTGCTACATGCCTTACTTCTTGCCTATATCACACTGCGAATTTTTTCTAAGCTCTATACTAAACATTAAATCTGTTACGAAAAAATAATGTTTGGATGTAGGGCCTAAATAACCATCCTGGTCACATTACAGAGTTTTGGTGGACGCAGGTTTCTAAGCAACATAACCGGGATCCCCACTTTAAGTTCCAAAATGTGAGGAGGGAGACCAGCGGGGTAGAGGCTGTTTAAGAACACCACTGGAAAGTTCGCCATTTCAGCGGGGTCTGGAGTTCTCACAATGGATTTGTAAACGTGCAACACTCCTCGCACAGTTTCCAGAAGCTGTCTATTAAGGGTTGTCACAGTGGTGTTTTTTGGGGCAAGAATTGCCCGCCCAGCAAGCCACTCAATATTTTTGTAGTTGGTTTGAAGATCAGGAAAAACTGATTACCTAAGTGTTGCTGGCGTTGTGACCACTGTAGACAACCCTTGGACGTTTACAAATCCATTAGTGCCCGCTGGAATAATACCTTCGCCAAGGGCTAATAAAGTATTCGAAAATTCGGCGGACCCAACATCGCCAGTTAGGTGTGCACGCATGTTGGTGGTAAGGTGCAATGGTGTAACAGTGGGCCAAAGTTGTGACTATTTCAAGCACGCTATAATAGCGTCGGCCCTTTTCCCCTTAGGTACAACTGGGAGGGTCTGGTGAAAGTCACCGGATAGAAGGACAGTTGTACCTCCCATAAGGTCATCGGAGTTTCAGAGAGCGGTTTACAGCCTCGAGTGCAGTTTTGGGACTGACAGTGCACTCATCCCAGACGATGAGCTTACATCGTTTGAGTACCACCGCTAGACCTGATTGCTTGGCTATACTGCATACAACTGTTTCTGCATTAATCATATCAAGCGGAAGTTTAAACGTTGAGTGCACTGTTCGGCCACCCGATAGTAATGTGGCAACAATGCCTGAAGACGCTACTGCTAGCGCCACTTCGCCAAGGCGCCGAATTTCTGCAAGAAGCAGTTTTGTTACGAACTATTTTCCCCTTATCCCAGGTGCGTCCAGGAAGAAAAATGATCCTGTATCCTGCCTGGTGGATGCAAGAACCGCATCGTTAGCGGCCATTTGGTCTATGAGAAGTTTTGGCTCATTTGTTGTGACATAGGTGTTGAGCTTCTCAACAGAGTAGTATGTCTCCCGCACAATCTCAGGTGAGAGACTGGAGGAAGCCACACGATCTGGCGTTGGAAGACCAATATCGCCGAGAGATTTCCCCCTCCCCATTTCAACAAACAGATTCTCAATGATTATAAGCGCCCTATTGTAAATTTCATCGTTGAATGTAAGAGCCATTGTTGGACGGAACAGTGGCGCTTCTCTGAGTATATCTTCGGACAAAAGTCCTTGTATTTGTCCCAAAGTGATTTGGGATCACTGGGTCCGCACATTTGTAAGATTGTGGTGAAGAGTGGCGCAAAGCAGAGGGAATTTTTAAAATAGCACCCTCAGCCATTGTGGCATCCCACTGGCTGTCATCTTCCAAAAGGCCAAGACGGAGGCAGGCCTCACGAAAAGTGTCACATAAAACTCCATTAACCGTCCGTAAGACTAAATTCGTGCAAAAGGATTCGCAAGTAAAAACATTCCTGTCGCAATGGGGGAACCGTGAATACCCTTCCGAGTGTGGCGTCTTTTTTGACGCCTGCATAGCCCCCGACGTTGGCCCCGCACTTCTGCCGAGCCTAGGTGTTCTTTTTTGTCCACACGTAGTATGAAGGCACGTCTGGGTACAGTAGAGTCCTAGCAAACTCTTCCTGTCGACAAAATTTGAAGAACGCTGTCAGCGTTGTGTCTTTAGTACGCGCAGCCACATCCATTGCTGTATCCGCAGAGAAATAACGAAGTTCGTCGTTTTGTAGGTGCACAGCAAGCTGGACGATTGCTGGGAATGAATATGTGCCAAGAGCCCTCTGTGCTGCTGATGACGCGCCCTGCAAGGAAGTCCTGGATTTCGTCTACGGAGCCTTCCTGCCTAATACCAAACATTGCAGCATCAGTCCCTTTGTTGATGTACGTGCATACATACTTGATGGAGCGAACTGAATGGCAATATTCGACATTGATGTGCGCATTGAACGCTTTTGTTAGCAGGGAACAGTATGGCACTACCCATCTGTTATCCACTTGGTGGCCCTTTACCACGGCTGTAAATCCTCCCTCAGCGGGACTCCTTCGCCAGTATAGTGGATAACCATCGCTCCCTATAATGCTTTCGCTCACGAAATCTCGTGGGTACTGCCGGGTGCATTTGCCGTCCCTGTTGTGACAGCTGGTGTAATTGTAATGCGACCCGCAGGGACCATGAATCATGTTGGTTGTCAGTATTTCGTACAATTCAGGGTCAGCCGACGGATTAGGAATTACAGCAGAAATAATATGATCGATTTCTGTGGCTTCAGTCTTGTCGCACAGCCAAATTAGTATATGTGCGTGAGGCAGGCTGCGTTTCTGCCACTCAATAGTGTACATGCGACAGCAAACAGCCCCCAAAACCTGGCCGTTTGTAATCACATCCATTAGCTTTCCCAACTTCAGATGGTAAACTCGCGAAATGAGGTCTGGACGGACGTAGGCCGATTCCCCTGGCATAAGTTCTTTAGTTGCGTACCATTTTGGGTTACATGTGAAAGTTATGAATAGGTCTGGTCGGCTGTACTTACGAACGTATGTCAACGCGTCTTGCGTCCTCGCGTGCATGTATCGTGGACTGCCTGTGAACGTTGCGTGGATCACTGTCATTTCGTAAAGCATCACGGAGGTGAATGTGAGAGTCGCAGCGCAACTTGGTATGAGTCAATCTGGTTTAACGGAGTCTTTAGGATTCCATCTTAGCAGCCATGTCTACTATGAATTGATGGAAAATTTGGCGGCTTCGATGAAGATGATTGAATACACCCTCATGTACCATCCATAGGTAGGCGTAGAAAGCCCTGCAAGACACTGTTTTTAAGGTGGACCCATTTTGCAGAATGCCAAAGTGGTACCCATCTTCTCCGTAAGGGAAGAGAAGTGGGTATTGCAGTGTATCGTAGGACCGGTGCGCTTCACTGATTTTTCGAAGCCCACTGCCGCGCGATTCGATAACAATGTCACGTTTGTTGTGCTGATCACCGCTGACAATGACGGAAATTCGTTACTTGCGGGAGCATTATAATGAAATTCGTGCTCTCCCTGTGGCCGTTTGTCAGCATCAATTACAATAATGAAATCAGAAGTCTGATTTTCGAGAGCATACTTAAAACTGCGGACATAGCTATTTGTCTCGTGGAACATTTGTTGGAGACTCATTATGATATCCCTGCGAGGATGACTGTCCTGGCCTGTATCATTCTCGGGAATAATGCCCATGCGGGCATCTGCCTGTTGATTATAGTTAGCTATGAAGTATATTTGTAGAAAGGCCGAATCAGTGGCAGTTTCCGGCAAAAGAGACCCTATCCGGTGGTAAACCTGACCTTGAAACTTAAAGGTGGGATTCCAACCGACTTCGCGGAAGGCATTACAACCAAAAGAGATCATCTGGAAGGCACAATTGTACTGTCTGATTTTTGCTTGGAAATGTTTGGAGTCTGGACTGGAACCCTCCAACAGAGCTTTCAACGGAGCAGACAGCGCTTGAAAAGGTGGCAACTATACCTTACCGTCTGAACGACACAAACCTGTAGACTCACAGATAACTGACTATTTGGAGGACTTTGCGACCGGAAAGCCTCAAAACTGGTTCATAGTTGAACACTGTGCATGGCGGCGCTGGTTAACAGTCTGCAACCTTTCAAGCCTTTCAGTAGGTCTTTCTACAGCTCTAGCAGCGGAAGTTGAAATTGCATCGCGTTGCCGCCTTGTGCGCTTTTGCGTGGAACTTTCCGACGCCTCTGCAGCAGAACTTGCAGCGGCGTCGGCTGCATGGCGTGCGGTTTTCTCAGCTGGGACCGTCGAATGGACGTTGCCGCAGTTTTCGCTGCATAACGTGCAGTTTTCTCAGCCGTGGTCTCCTGGGACCGTCGAATGGAAGTTGCAGCGGCGTCGACTGCATTGCGAGTAGCTTTTCGATGCGGGCTCTGTCGAGACCGAAAAAGCGCTTGTGATAAAGCCGCTTTTTTTCTTGCAAGCGTTTAGGTAGTTTCCTCTTACTTTTCAACAAATATGTGTAAACTGATTTGCAGTAAAAACGGTAGTTACGCTCACCAAGCGTTTCATGTGACAGAACATACTGCCTCCGTTGAGATTGACTGGAAAGCCTCAAAGAGACCTCTACCTCGGTTTCCTCCTCCCGCTTTCTTTTTGCCGCAGAGGCTCTTGTAGAACGCTTGCCTCGCCATGGTATTTTGGCACGCTTAGCAAAGCTGCCGGGTCGGTCATCGCCACGGCACTCAGAAGAGTGCAAAGCAGAGGTTGGAGTAGACGCCAGCCGCTTCTCCCCCAAGGAGGCGCACTCAATGTAATCCTGCTCCCGTTTCCCCTTAGCCGGTGAGGTTTTTTAGAACGCCTGCTAAGGTTGCCTCGCCTGGGCGTTTTTGCAGCCTTTGCAAAGCTGCCGGTTTGGTCATCGCCATGGTACGCAGAAGATTGCAAAGCAGAGTTTGAAGTAGACGCTATATAATCATCTGTAACCGGAGTTATTATGTGCTCCTCCGTAGCCGCCTGTTCTGCATGTGTAACGTTAACGGTATTAGGGGTCTTCAGTTCTGAGGTGTACTGAAAGGCTTAGTAAAGGCAGTACACTTCAACTTACAGTGAAAACTGTAACGTGGAGGTAAAATAGGTTGGGCAAACGACTGAGTAAATAAGTAACTTGCGACAGCACTTAACTGTCTAATTGCAAACCTGAACTACGAATATGTAGAAATAGGTATGGACCGCTAAGATGGACTGGGCTGCGCAGTAGAGTCGGCACGCGAAGATAAAATGGGTAATGCAAACGTTTAAGCAAATAGGTAACTTGCGGTAGCAGGAAGCTGACAATTAATCCAAGGACAGATGCGTTAATGGCGATCAAATCTAGACGTGTGTGCAGATGCAGCCGCGCTGAAGGTATTTAAAGGGAGCATGACCTGACATTGATTGGTGTAGCCTGGAAAATGGCCATGACTTAGACCAATGAATGAGCTCACGCAAAATGGAAGATGCTAGCGTGTATTCACGCACGCGCGCATGATTTGGCAAGCGCGAGGCTTGGCCGTAAGCTCGAGGCTTGGCCGTGGATCAAACTGGCTGCTGTATATGCAGCTTGGCTCTAACGCACGTGATGCCGGCGATGAGAATGCAAGGAACTGCAATGAAGCGTTTGCTCGTTTGGTTTGTGCGACAACGAAAAGCCGTTAACAGTTTGCCGGCATTAGCTTTGAAATGGATTGGGGGGAAGCTCTGCCGTTTTAGCGCAAAAACTCCTCATCAGGTCTGGGATGCAGCCTGGGCTAGGGGAAAAGGTTTAAAGAATTGGAAAAGGGACTGCTGAGGGCGGAACCATTTTCACTCAGCACGTATGCGGGTTTTTTCTATAAAGACGTGAATAAAGGAAGCGCTTGTTTTGGTAAGATGCGACGATTAAAGAAAAAGTGTTGACAAAGTCGAATATGTCATTTGTGGCTCAAAGTCGGACCTGGTAGCAGGGATAAAAAAGCCGAATTTAAAAAAAGAAATTGAAATTCAGTGCAATACGGTTTGTATATAAAACACCCACTTCATTAAACAAATAAATAAAGACATAATCAGATAGATAATGATAAAACACAATCCTCCCGACACATAACGACTTGTAGACGCGCCATAAAAATATCTGGGAACTAACTAAAGGATGACCGCCAACATTAGTCTTGAAATAGATACCCTACCCAACCTGAGCAAAACCTCTCAGAAGATGATGAATCTATATATAAGAATTAACTCTCTGACCACTTAACCAAGATGACTCGCCTAGCCATTCCCACAATAACGAATGTTATAACGAACCATGCTAAAAAACACACGTAAACCAAGAGATAGCTTATTCCTAAAATTTCGCTTAAAGATGAAACGGGACTAAACACCTTAATTCAACTTAATTTTAATAATTATTTGGATGGTTTCGGCTCTCGTTTTTGAAACATGAGAACTTTTATGTAGCGAAGGAATCATATCTTTAAACAAAAAATATTATAATATAAGCTCTACGTCTCTATGGAGCACTGTCTGCTTAAAAATAAAAACAAAAAGACTAAGGAACTCCGGATTATGCACCCAACGTGTTTTTTTTCTATTTTCTGCATACCTGCGCACTTATATATATATATATATATATATATATATATATATATATATATATATATATAAACAAACTTTCTTGTTGTCGGATCTGATGAGACAATTTAATCTATTACCTCTCTTATCTTAAAAAGTCTCAATGCATTTTCTTTACACACAGTTTTGTCTTTCATTCCGACCTGAAGAAACCGAAACCAACAGACGTCAGCGAAGCGAGTCTTTTCTCTTTATTTCATTATCTCCACACACATGCGCGCGCGCATATATTAAATTAAATGCATTGACACAAAGGGAGATTAAGTTAAAAAGTAAAAATATGTTGCACAAAATAATCCCTATTTATCATAAAAAATCTATCTATCTATCTATCTATCTATCTATCTATCTATCTATCTATCTATCTATGTCAGACTGTTCGTATCTATCTATCTATGAGAGAGCATCAGTAAATACGTAATTTGATATGTTGATTTTTCCCTGAATGTTTATCTGATGTAATGCCCAATTTTTGTGATTTATCAATGAATAAAGTGCGTTGGCAAAGGTGGAGATTACGTAAAAATATTTATTTAAAGTGAATACATGTGTAGACATGCATGCTTTAATGCCAGCATCTCATATATTGAATGCCTGTTTCACTGACAGCTCTTATTTGTCATGATAAAAAGACGTGTATCAATAGCTTTCTCAAATTTTACGCACCTATTTACATTTGTGCTTGCGAAATTCTACCAGGTTGATCTATTCAAAATGATTAGATTAACCTATTTTGTTCAGTTTTGCGATCCATACGAAAAGTTTTCTTCACTTAAACGAATTTGATTTAGAGGTGGCCAGCGACAAACTTCGCCAATTTTTTTCTCATTTTGTTATTATTTACTTTTATATATTTCATGATTTCCAAGGAGATTTTGACAAATTCTGATCAGGTACTATATTTTTCATATATATAATAGTGTGCATATATATATATATATATATATATATATATATATATATATATATATATATATATATATATATATATGGAAATAAGCAGCTCTTAAAAAGAAACTGCCGTGTATGCACACCAGAGAGAATAGTGGTCAACACTATACAATATGGTAGAGCGTTTTATAAACAAAGATACACTTGTCCATCCAGTACTATATTTTTCATGCCTTTAAGCAATCGTCAGGCGATCACCAGCTATAATGCGAAAGTGGGAGCTTTTATGAAGGAAAGACCAAATGGAAAAAATATGGACGGTATTCGCACCAAGCCAACCAACCTTTCTCACCTGGTGTGGGGAAAGCACCTATCTGGCTAAAATCAAAAACAAAATCAAATCTGAAAAATAATATTTTGTTAGAGTGATTTGTTTTTATATGAACGTTTATAAAGCTGCTTTTCAGAAAGATACAATGTATACAAGATTGGGACAACCAAATAAAATCCTAGTCACTAGAAAAAATAATTACCTGTACCTTTTTCATTTCTCTATAGTTAAGTTCTCATTTATATTTACTGCG